AGAGGATCATTGTCCCCATTTTATTGATGAGAAAACTGAGGCCCACAGAAGTAGAGGTCACCTAGCTGGCAAGTAGCAGTCCCACCAGGCCAGTGTGACTTCAAACGCAAAGTTCCTCTCTACTGGGGTTAGGAACTAGTACACACTTATTTGGGTTTGTCAAGCCAACATGTGACCAACCTGCAGCCACAGGTGCCCTCTGGGCCACCTCCCTTCCTGGCATAAGGGCTGGTGTCTCCCCGACAGAGGGTCAGGGTGTGGGTGGGCACAGTGCTTCTCCATCAGAGCTCTATTCACTCTGGTCTGAACAGCCACCTCACCCCTCTCTCCTCCCACCCCACCCTGTGAATTTATCAACTTTATCAACTGGTCCCAGCGCTGCCTGATAATGGTCTATTTTCTCTACTGCAGAAAGCTCCATGAGGACAGCAGCTGTCGTGTCCTGTTCCCCGAGACACCCAGGAGAGTACCCGGCAGAGAAAATGGGTGATGAATGAATGAAAGAATGAATGAATACCTACGTCCACAACTCAGAAAGGACTTCAGTATGTATCTCTGAAGGACAACACAGTTTTATATAAATGAGGCCCCAATTTACTCAAGAGGTATTTCCTGCAGGTAGATTTCATCACTAAGCATCTACAAAGCAAACTCAGACCTGGTCCTGGAAGTCATGGGCTGGTGTCCAGGGTACAGGCAGGCACTAATCCCAGTAAGGAGGTTAGGCAGTGGTAGAGCACTTGCTTAGCTAGCCTACAGATGCCTGGGATTAGATCTCCAGCACCAAAAGCACACAAACAAATCCCAGCCACGAGTGTATAATTCTACCCTGGGGTTAACTTCTAACCTATAGACCCATGGACTGTGGCCTGTGGTGTTAGGAATGCAAATCTGGGTTGGGCCAACATCTGAGGAATGAGGAGGTATCTAGCATGCACAAGGGAAAAAGGGGGGCATGCAGAGGCCCCAAGGAAATGGAGCAGGGTAGCCAGGCCCAGAGGACTACTGACAAAGTATCCTGAAATGGGCTGGAGGCCTAGGCCGGGTGTAGGGGCGGGGTCTTGTGGTCCACTTTCAAGATTTTTGTTCTTCACCCTAAGAAAATGGGGAGCCATACAGAGTTTTAGGCAGAGGGAGGTACAACTGGATAGGCCCACCTGCCAAGTAGGGGCAGCTAAATGTAAAGTGGGTCAGATTCTCCCTTCCAGCTCTTTGCTTCCCTGTAATGAATTCAAGGAAGCAAAGCCCCTCACCCTCACCTGCAGCCCAGTTTATATTTGTAGCAATATTTACAAAACAGGGCGTAGGAGAGGCCTCAAGAATAAACCAAATGACCTTGCTCAGGCCCCGATCTGTCAGTCCTGGTGGCTGTCCATGGAACCCATGTAGGGAGAGATGGTTTCAGGTTTACGAGAAATTCTCCAGGCCCCAGCCTTCATGGGGACCTGTGACACCCTAATCAGTCTACTGTGCCCACCCAACCATGCCTGGTGCCCTAGGCTTAGAGGGTCAAAAGGCTCCCAGAGTGCCAGACACTGCCAGGCACCCTTGGTGGCTTCAGTGCCTTTGATCCTCATGACAACCTTGCAGACAGGAGCTTTACAAATGAGACAGGAGGTTTACCACTGAGGAGACTGAGGCCATCCAGAGGTCAGAAGATCAGTCAGTTAGGAGGTCACCGAGCTAGGGAGTGAACCCAGTCACCCCATGCCGCATGAAGCTGAGTGGCTGCAACAGCTGAAATGCTGACCGTGAGGTGTGTGCTGTGTTTCTGAGGCCAGAAAGGAGCCTCAGCCTCCTTTCTTGAAACTCTGCCATACCCATCTCTGCCTCTAATGTTTCTTTACTGGGAGCAGAAACAGGTTATCAAGTCACTAGGGCCTCCAGAGAAATACACCCTTGCCTGGGCTGGAGGTATAGCTCAGTGGTAAGGTGCGGATTTAGCATGCATAAAGATTTCCAAAGCAGCGGTTGTAAAAGAAGATAAAAGAATTATACCCTAGCTGACTCCCGGTGTGGCAAGGCCTCTGACACTGGCCACGCTCTGCACTGACGGACTCATCAGCGCTATGAGGTATTACAAACCCTGTCGTACGATAAAGAAATGAGGCCCAGAGAAATAAAGGGAGATACCAAGGTCACACAGCCAAGAAGTAGCCATACTTTCCAGCCAGGTCTCCAGGCACTGATGTTAGTGTACGGCTCCCTCCGCACCCCTCTTTGCTCCCCAGTCTTTGGCAAAGTGGGAAAGCCCAGGTCGGCAGAAGCACCTTGAAGGAAGCCCACAAAAGCACATGCTCAGAGGGTTTGATGCTGTTCTAACATCTTCCCCGGAGGCGGGGTCTGATCTCCCGGCCTGTTGAGGTCGCCTGTGGCTGGGACCATTCCAAGGGTCTCCCAGCCTTGTCACACCCAGAGTGTTTCATCCAGTCCCTGGAGTCTACCCCTGAGGACAGGGCTCATTCTATTCATTGCTGTATCCTCAATGCCTAGGCAATACACACACAGGCACACAGTAGCCACTCAATTAATATCTGGTGAATGACAGAATGGATGCTCTTGAAACTTAAGGAAGGTCTTACAATTTCTGCAGTAACGAACGCTAAATTATGATAAAGAACCAGAGCATTCCTTCCCGCTTTGAGGTGGGCAGTAGCCTCGAGTCTAGATCAAGACCTGATGTTAGCTCCGCTCTGCTCACTTGCTTTGTGACAGCAGGAAAGGGCAGAGGAAAGGACACTGTAAAGGTCAACCCCGCGCCTCACTTTAGACCAGGCTCTGATGTGAAGTGACCTCTGTTCTTACCCTCTTCTCTAACCTAGGCGTGTGGCCTTGGGGAATTCACTTCATCACTTCCTGCCTCAGTTTACCCAGCTGTAAAATCCGTCCCAAAGTCAGCAGCACGGATCCTATAACTCACCCCTCACGCGAGAAGCCACTCCCCCTGTGACAGGGAGGGGGCTGGGATTTTCTCCCGCTCCCCAAATCCTCTAAGGCTGACTTTGCAGCCAGCTGTGCGCCAAGGGGATGCGGAGGCAGGGAGGGCGGAGGGGGCATGGTGGTCCCTGGAGTCTTCGCTCACCAGGGTGCCCAGGGAGGGGGGGATCAGGGGCTAGGGGAAGTCCGGTAACCCTGTGTGACCTTGGGGAAGGACCTTCTCCCCGCGGCCCAGGCCAGCACCCTAATTTATTAAAGAGCGGGGTAGGTCCGGGGGAGGAAGGCAGCAGATGCCCGAGTGCTCTGCCCAGCCTCAGTTTCCCCGTGCGCCGGCCCGCGTGGTTTCTTAGGGCACTTCCGGCTCTGAACGCAAAGCGGCCCCCAGCAGACAGCTCGGCGCCGGGCAGTGAGCGCCCCGGAGCGCGCGGCCGCGGCGCGTGG